ACAGCCAGACATAATTCTAGAATAGATTACTTATTCATCTCTCAAGCTTTGATTGAATTAATTGCAGAGATTAAAATGGGCCAATTCACTCAGCAATTTACTTGAAAATTAATTGCGATAAAGGAAATTGCTCAACATACAAGTGTCAGTTGAACTAAATTGTATTAGAAAATAAAAAAAAATAGAGAAGAAAAGGGATTAACGATATCAGATTATTTTGATAGCAATATTCTGGGTTTTAGTTACTAATGACAAATACACAGGGGTTGATTTACTAAAACCGGAGATTGCTAAATCTGGTGCAGCCAATCAGCTTTTAGATCGGCCACACATGGGTTGAAATTCAACTGATTTTTCATCCGAAAATCGGACCTAAGAATAATCGGCTGATTTTTGCTCTGTTAGCGGGTCAATGGCACCAGACGATTTTCGTGGTTCCTCCTCTTTTCGGTGATCGGGCATGTTGGAAAATTCATGAAAAACAACCGATTTTCGACTCAATGATGGTCAAATCTTATGATTGTTTTTCTGAAAAGAATATGCTCATGAGCTGTGACCTGGAAGGAACAGAGGTTTCACCTGTTATATGGGGTGAACTTTATGACTTGGTTGGCCGATTTTCGAAATCATTTACAGCACCATCGGATTAGCGAGTGAACAACGTTTTCGAAAAAATCGTTTGGAATTCGAACCATGTATGGCCTGCATTAGTTTTAGGTTGTTCAATTAAGCTTTGACAATAAAACCTGGAAGTGGATTGGTTTCCATGTACAGCTGCAACAAATTTTGCACTCTCCAGATTTGGAGAATCAACCCTACAGTTTACCTTGCATGGGAATTTTCTCCGGAGCTTAGTGAATGTGGTGAAATGTCACTTTGCAAAGAAAACCCAATTACATGCAAGGGAAAAAAATCTGCATTTTTGTTTTCCCAAGATTGGATGATGGAAGTCAGCAGAGCTTTACTTCATTTACTAAATTTTGGGGAAAACTTCCTTGCAATGTGCAACCTATGTTGAAAAGTGAACAGTCTCTTCATCTTTAGTAAATGAAGCCTCCTCTGTATCTTCCCAAGCCACTTTATGAGGGGTAAACTGATGAAACTAGCATCCAGAACAAAAAAAAAAAACAAAATGAAAAAGAAATTACCACTTTACTTTAGAATTTACCACTAGAAGAAAAAGCAAAACTCGATCAGATGAATAAAAGAACACTCTCCGTTGAGACACATAGGGGGAGATTTACTAAAACAGGAGCACTCAGAATCTGGTGCAGTTGTGCATGGCAGCCAATCAGCTTCTAACTTCAGCTTGTTCAGTTAAGCTTTAGCAATAAAACCTGGAAGCTGATTGGTTTCTGTGCAGAGCTGCACCAGATTTTGCACGCACCAACTTTAGTAAATAACCTCCATAAACAATTACTTGCCCTGAGAGCTAAATTCAAAGATATACTATATAACAGAACAAATAAATGTTTCACATACTATAAGTAGAAGAACTATACACATGATAATAAATACAAGAAAACTTTATCTAGTGTAAAAAAAAATAAGATCTCAAACTTTCATTCCAAAAATAAAAGATGAAAAGATATAAAATACAAAACAGAAGACATTTAAAACGTTTTTGTAAACTATTACCAAGATTTGTGTGCTTAACCACCTCAATACTTGGACAATTCTGACACTACTCTCATACATGTCAAAATCAGTATTTTTTTGCTAGAAATTATTTAGAACCCCCAAACATATATATATTTAAGCAGAGGCCCTGGAGAATAAAATGGTGAGTGGTGCAATGTTTTTACTAACACCCACAGAGCGGCTGTAAAAAGTGTGGCAGTGGATACCAGGCAGTGAGTGGCACCTGACCAGATCAGACCATAAAGGAACCTCCAGTTTTCTGAAATTGGTATTTCTAAATGCGCAGTCTGCTTGCGTATCTGGTGAGTGCGCAATCTTATCATTTATCTTATCACCATAATACCGGATCAGATCACTGGATTATGAAGATCGACACGATCTCCTATGCACTTTAATTGTGGACTATTGTCTGATTAATACGTCTGCACTTTATTGGTCACTATTTAGTGAAATAGATATCACTTTGCATCTCACTATATTCGGATATAAGCATTTTGTCACTGGATTTTATGCTTATCTATGATACGTTTATATGATGCATGTACCGAATGAATATATGAAGCTGACGTTCTCATATCACTAAGTCACTTTATTTCAATGTGCTTTTGTTATTTGATATAAGTACAGTTATTTGCCGTTTTAGTCATTTATATTGATGTATTGATATTTCAGCGCTACACCCTTCTTTTACGTTTTTATGTTGCACGATAATTGTGCAGCAGTTTTTCCAACGCAATTTTTTTGGAACAAATTGAAGTTTAACACACAAAAACACTATATAATACCCAATTTATAGGTAAAATCTAAAAGGTGATGTTAAGTTAAGTAAACAGATTGACTTCCATGCAAAAATGCCTCCTATAGACTTGAATGCAAAAATGCCTCCCATTGCCTTCAATGCAAAAACGCCTCCCATTGACTTTGATGCAGAAATTCCTCCCGTTGACTTAAATGCAAAAACGCATCCCATTGACTTCGATGCAAAAATGCCTCCCATTGACTTTGATGCAAATATGCCTCCCATTGACTTCAAAGCAAAAACTCCTGTCAATAATAATCCAATGTGAACATTTATCTCTGCATGCCACTCTACTGGAATGCACTGCTACAAACTGGTCCAGGACCCTTTTCATAATGGCGCTCAAAACACAATGTTTGTGCATTGCATCTGTGTGAACCACCTCAATAGGAACACATCTTGTCTGTCATGCAAATCTGTGCCTTTAAAAATGCATCCAGAATTGCATATGTGTGAACCATTCACATCTGGGTGTTTTGGGATCGTGGCAAAATCTCTGTGATCGCAAGATGCAGGTTCAGGTGCCATTATTTTCAGTGGCGCTTAAGACATGGTGTGGTTTTGTAGTGATTTTCGCTCAGCAAATTGCATCACATGAAGTTTTTCGCCCAAAAGTTGTCGTGCCCCGGCACTGACAATTTACGCTAAATAAAACCTGGTTCTTAACTTTTTTAGCTGGCTTCTAGATTCAAAGCAAATTTGTCAAGCAGAGCAATACAAAGCAGCTTGTCTGCCTAGTAAAACACACACAGCACACAGTTAACCCTTTGATCGCCCCAGATGTTAACCCCTTCCTGCCCAGTGCCATTAGTACAGTGCCAGTGCTTTTTATTAGCACTGATCACTGTATTAGTATCATTGGGATGTCAGTTAGTCCACCCCCCAGTGTTAGAATGCCCGCCGCAGGCCCGCTATAAGTCACTGCTGCCATTACTAGTATAAAACATTTTTTTTTTATATCCCAGTGTCTATATCGCCATTTGTAGATGCTATACCTTTCTCATAAACCAATTCATTTACACGCATTGGGATTTTTTTTTTTAACAAAGACGTCGCAGAATACATTTGGCCTAAATTTACGATGAAATTTGATTTTTTAAAATTTTTTACTGGACATGTTTTATAGCAAAAAGTAAAAAATATAGTTTTTTTCTTTTTCAAAATTGTCAGTCTTTTTTTGTTTATAGCGCAAAAAATAGAAAACGCAGAGGTGATCAAATACCAGCGAAAGAAAGCTCTATTTGTGAGGGGAAAAAGGACATAAATTTCATTTATGTGTAGCGTTGCATGACCACGCAATTGTCAGTTAAGGTAACACATTTCGCAAAAAATGGCCTGGCCAGGAGGGGGGGGTAAATCCTATGGAGGGCAAGTGGCTAAACTGTTTCTAGTTTCTGTAAAACAGTAAATTTATTGTGGGGGCTCTATCTAGTGGCCAAATTTAATGTGGCTTAATGAATTTCAGTGCTGAAGGCTGAACTGGTTAGTTGAAGTGAACACAACTGTATTGTACTTCTAAGATCAGTAAACTAGATGAACAATCTCTACTACATTAACAAATCATCCCTGAACATACTGCCAGGTCTAAAGAGAGGAAGCTTTCATCCTGTATGCTGTCTGTAATACTTTTTGTTGTACAGTAGCTTTTTGAGTAAAATATCATGACTACATAGGTTTATATTCAAAAATATGTTTATGTTTTTGTACTTCCCTTTCCTGTAAAAGTTGTACATACTTGCCTTTGCTAAATACTTGACTAGCAAGTAAAAAATACACTATTAATAACAATCTGATAGCAATACTGAAAATGGCCACAAGGGGCAGCACAAGGGCATTAGGTTTCAAGCAGCCTTTTAGCTGACAGTTTTTTTTTCTCCATGTAGTGGCAAAGAATCTCCGCAAGAGGATGGCAAAGGCATTTCAGCAGCAGAGACTTGTACTGTTAGCCATCTATTAACCACTTGCCTACCGGGCACTTATACCCCCTTCTTTACCAGGCCAGTTTTCAGCTTTCAGCGCTGTCGCACTTTGATTGACAATTGCGCGTTCTTGCAAGATTGTACCCATATGAAATTTTTACCATTTTTTTCTCACAAATAGAGCTTTCTTTTGGTGGTATTTAATCGCCGCTGGGCACTTTACTTTTTGTGCTATAAACAAAAAAATTGTAAAAAAAAAAAAAAAAAAAAAGTTTCTTTGTTTCTATTATAAAATTTTTCAATCAGGTAATTTTTCTCCTTCATTGATGTGCGTTGATGAGGCAGCACTGATGGGCACTAATAGGCGGCACTGATGGGCACTGATAGGCAGCAGTAATAGGCGGCACTGATAGGCAGCACTAATGAGGTGGCATGGATAGGCGACACTGATAGGCGGCACTAATGAGGTGTCACGGATAGGCAGCACTGATAGGTGGCACTGACAGACAGCACTGATAGATGGCACTGACTGGCATCACTGCTGGGCACTGACTGGCGGCACTGCTAGGCATTGACTGGTGCAACTGCTGGGCACTGACTGGCACAACCGCTGGGCACTGACTGGTGGCACTGACTGGCAGCACTGCTGGGCTGCACTGATGGGCACTGGTGGGTGGCACTGGTGGGCACAGGTGGGTGGCACTGCTGGGCAAAGGTCAGTGGCACTTCTGGGCACAGGTGTGTGGCACTGCTGGGTGGCACAGGTGGGTGCACTGCTGGACACAGGAGGGTGCACTGATGGGCACAGGCAGGGGGAACTGGTGGGTGGCACTGCTGGGCACCGATCATCAGGGCACTGATCCTCAGTGACCTGATGATCGGTGCCGTTCCCCGCTCTGACAGCTGCCGGTTCTCGGCAGTACTTTCCTCACTCTCTGACAGCGTGAGGAAAGTGCAGCCAAGAACCGGCAATTGCATTTCCCGGTGATCAGCGTCAACACGGCTGATCACGTGGTAAAAGGCCGCTGTGATTGGCCTTTTACCACATCACGTAATCAGCTGTGTCTGTAGGACACAGCGATCAGGGAGATCGCCGGGGGCACGCCCCCGGGGGTGCACAGGAGAGCGCGTTCTGGGAAGACGTCATATGACGCCCACCCAGAACTGGCCGGCCGCAGTGCAGCCGTCATTTGGCTATCTGCGGTTGGCAAGTAGTTAATGAAGAAAGTTTGGAGATTAAGTCTACATTCTGACTAGACTTGTTAGCAAGCGGCAGACAGGCGTTTGGGAAGCGTTTTTAACGTTTCCCAAACGATTTGGAAAATTCTGCACATTGCAGCACATGGTGCTGTTCACAAGGGAGCATTAGCGTCACGTCGCGGCAAAATGGACGCCTCTGGTCGAGTCAGGAGGAGTTGAAGCCTCCTATTCAAGTCTATGGTGCCGCTCTGTGGTGCGGTTGCAACGCAGTTGCGGGGCGTTTGCGGAGCGTTAACACCATTCAACTTCATTATAGGCATTTGTGGGGTGTTTTTAATGCTTGGCAAACGCCTAGCAACCACTGCTAAACCACACATGCGGCGTTTGCAGAGCATTAAAAACGCTACAGGGGAGTTTGGCAAGAGTTGGAAAAACAGTCAAGTGTGAACGAGCCCTTAGTGATACCCTTTGTTGGCTATTTCTAAGTAGATATAAAAGATACAAATGAATGCTGCTGTGTAATTATTAATACGTTGTTAATCACTTGCCCTCCAGAGGATTTCCCCCTCTTCCTGACCAGGCCTTGTTTTTACGATACGGCGCTGTGTTACTTTAACTGACAATTGCGCGGTCATGCAGCGCTGCACCCAAATGAAATTTGCTTCCTTTTTTACTACAAATAGAGTTTTCTTTCCGTGGTATTTGATCGCCTGTGTGTTTTTTATTTTTTTGCGGTATAAAAAAACAAAGACCGACAATTTTGAGAAAAAAACAATATTTTTGCTATCGTACATGCCCAGTAAAAAATGTTAAAAATCAAATTTCATCATAAATTTAGGCCAAAATGTATTCTGCTCCATGTCTTTGCTAAAAAAAAATCCCAATATGTGTAAATTAACTGGTTTATGTGAAAGTTATAGTGTTTACAAATGGCGGTATATATAGTGTAAATTTTTTTTTTCATACTAGTAATGGTGGCGATCAGCGACTTATAGCAGGACTGCGGGACTGCTGCAGACATTCTGACACTGGGAGGGAACTGACTAACTGCCACTAACATCTCCAGTGACACCAATACAGTGATCAGTGCTAATAAAAAGCACTGACACTGTACTAATGGCACTGGGCAGGAAGGGGTTAACATCTGGGGTGATCAAAGGGTTAATTGTGTTTTGAGTGCTGTGTGTGTGCTTTACTGTGTAAGCACATTGCTTTGTATTGCTATGCTATGCAGAGCAATACAAAGCAATGTGCAGGAGCTGACAGGGGAGAGATCTGTATTGTTTACACACAGGTCTCTCCCTGTCGGTGATATACGGTGATCGCCAGGTGCCAGTGGGGGAATTACCGGCTGGGATTTGGTGATCGACAGGCGAGGAAGCTTCTCCCCGTACTATCTGTTAGAGGGAGGGGGCGGCGGCTATGGGAACATGTTACATGTTCCTCCCTAAAAACGGGTGGAACATGTAACATGTTCCCAAAGGTAAACTTATCCTTTAATTCAGGGGTAGGCAACCTTAATCATTTTATTTGTACTATATATTGATTGCCATCATAATTTGACACAGTATAAGGTATATGGTATATTCTGAATCTTTGATTTTCTGGTAGCACACCGCCACTTACCATTTTACAGTTCAGTGTTTACATCCTTTGTGCATGCTGGTAACTGGCCTGAGCGAATCTGAAAGAATCTGTGAAGGCACAAGGCACAGTTGACGCCATTGGTGGGTGTAAACATTGGACCAAGCCGCGTCTGTCGTACTCAGGTAAGTAAATCCGGCCATACATGTGTTGAATTCTGAAAGAATTTTCTTTCGAATATCTTTTCTAGAATTTTCGCTTGAATTTTGCACCATTAGTGGGCCACAGCAACGGCTGATTTTCAAGTGAACATCGAATTTGAGTGATTGGGCATGTTGGAAATTTTTGAAAAACAAACGAATTTCTAATCAATGATAGGAGAATTGCATGAGAAATGTAATCGAAAAAAAAAAAATGAGTATGAAAAGCAAATTATTTGCCACAGCCAGCCATACATGGGTCGAATTCTGAAAGAATTTTCTTTCGAATATCTTTTCTAAGAATTTTCGTTTGAATTTCGCAACATTCGTGGGCCACAGCATCGGCTGATTTTCAAGTGAACATCGAATTTGAGTGATCGGGTATGTTGGAAATTTTTGAAAAACGAACAAATTTCTAATCAATGATGGGAGAATCGCACGAGAAATGTAATCGAAAAAAAAAAAATGAGTATGAAAAGAAAATTCTTGGCCATGAAAATTATTTTCCGTAGCAACATGAAGTGAAATTAAAGGCTACAAAATGCAAGAAATTACCGATTGTCTAAAGAAAATTTGTTTAGAATTAAACCGATGTATGGCCTGCATTAGAAACAAACTGGAAGAAAAAAGGGCCATTTGTTTAAGAACATCAATTTGCATAAAGAGGTATTTCAGATGGAATACAATGACATTCCTGCTGTATGTGGGGCAGCACAGTGGCTATATTGTTAGCACTTCCACCTGGCAGTACTCGGGTCATTGGTTCAAATCCCAACCACAGCGCCTCCTGCCTGGAGTTTACATGTTCTCCCTGTGCCTGCATGGGTTTCCTCTGGGTACTCCAGCCAGTGGTGTATTTAGGTTTCGTGCTGCCCTAGGCACACAAAAATCGGAGGACCCCCATCACCGGCGGAGAGAGCCTGACACCAACCAACACCAGCCTGCCCGCGGAGAGAGCCTGACACCAACCAACACCAGCCTGCCCGCGGAGAGAGCCTGACAGTGACCAACAACACCCCTCCCCCCGGCAACAGAGAGAAAGACACTCACCTTCACAGCTCTGGACATCCCCGAGAATGACAATTGGGCTCTGCATACACCATCAAGCAGCCCACAGCCTCTCTTGGATCCCACTTGGTCCCCATGCCGCATATGTTCCTTCTTCCAGGGAGCAGTGCTGCCCCCCTAAAAAATGCCACTCTAGGCAAATGCCTTGTTTGCCTTGTGGTAAATATGCCCCTGACTCCAGCTTCCTCTCACACTTCAAACACATATTGGTAGGTTAATTGGCTCCTGTCTAAATTGGCCCTAGTATGTGTATGTATGAATGTGAGTTAGGGACCTAAGATTGTACGCCCCTTGAGGGTTAGGGACTGATGTGGATGTACAACATATATATAAATGTAAAGTGCTGCGTAAATTGAAGGCGCTATATAAGTACCTGTAATAAATAAGTAAATATAAACTGCTAAATACCTTTTCTCATCAGCAGTTACAGCAGTCTTGTGACTTCTATCAGTGTCCAACAGAGTGAATGTACAAAATATACTGTATGTAAACGGTGTGTATATTGACAGCATTATATAAGTACCTGTAAAAAATAAATATGTATTTTTTACTGCAGGTAAGCTGTACAAATCTGGGTTCCTTTTGGGTGCAGTAGGTAACACTGGTATTTTTTTTAGTTCCTGACATTAACCGCCTCTACGCCACCCTATAGCAGAAATACTGCATGAAATATATACGTGATTTTGCAGTTCCGGGTAGGGGGCGCGCCCTACCCGTGCCGCCATTCGCAGCCTCGGCTGTCAATCAACAGGTCCCGGCCGGTGATTCCCCGCTGGCACCCAGCAATCTCCGAGGATTTCCGAGGAGGGAGACACCTTTATGTAAACAATACAGATCGCTCCCCTGTCAGCTCCTGCACACTGCTTTGTATGGCTCTGCATAGCATAGCCATACAAAGCAGTGTGCTTACAGTGAAACACACACACAGCCCACATAGTAAAACAGCACACAATTAACCCTTTGATCGCCCCACATGTTAATCCCTTCCTGCCCAGTGCCATTAGTACAGTGTCAGTGCTTTTTATCAGCACTGATTGTAGTAATCATGCCCACAGAGATAGACGCGTTTCAACCATTTTGGCTCCAACCTCCATCTTGGCAAAGATCATCCATCTTGTACAAACATATCTCCCCTCATTCTCCCCTTCCCTCTCTGAGAGTCACAGTGACATTTGGTCAGTGTGTGTGTGTTGGAAGTGTCATAGGCAGGCCAGGGCACAGCAGGGAGCTCCGAGCTATAAACCATCTCTGAGCTAGGTGCTGGGCTGGCTGGGAAGCTGAGCAATCTGGCACCTCGTAAAAAGATAACCCAAGCCTTCCCCTGAGTTCAAAGACATTCCAGAAAAGTAGGAAACTAGATAACACTTTTAAAATCCATTTTTCCCCTATGTCTCATATCTTGGACTTACATAAAAACCAGGCCTATCTTCAGATTGCTCACAATCAGACAAATCGTTTGATAGGTCACACTCCCTGACTGGAATACCTAGGAAAGCAGAAAATTACATCTCTGGAACCCTTCAAGTATTTATGTCATATTTCATAGCTAACCATTCCTCAGATGCGTCTGCATATTAATCTACCCGCGGGTGGAATGTTACTTGTGCATAGGAAAAGTTATGAGCCAAAATATGAGCTACGAGAGATTTTGGTTCTAGTTTGGGTCTCCGTCCAGACAATCCCTCCCCAAATGAGGCATTGGTCCTTGGCTTCAGAGACACCCCCTGCTGAGGGACCTTCAAAATAGGCTATCAAGCCTAAGAGTGTAAGTTGAAGAATTCTCCCGTTTAACATCAGAACCAACTTGGGAGCCCTTTTGCTCTGAAACTTGATCTGCTTAACCCAAGGCTGGTTGGCAAGTACTTTAACCATTTAACCTCCTTTCTGTTACCTCTTTGCTGTGCTGTTGTTCTCTGTATATTTATATATATATATATATATATTGGTTACATCTTTTTTTCTGTAAATATTTTTATTGC